GTCAGGGAAGGTATGTGACCCTGTACAGTATTAGGGACGAGGGATATAGTGTCAGGGAAGGTATGTGACTCTGTACAGTATTAGGGACGAGGGATATAGTGTCAGGGAAGGTATGTGTCCCTGTACAGTATTAGGGACTAGAGATATAGTGTCAGGGAAGGTATGTGACCCTGTACAGTATTAGGGATATAGTGTCAGGGAAGGTATGTGTCCCTGTACAGTATAAGGGACTAGGGATATAGTGTCAGGGAAGGTATGTGACCCTGTACAGTATTAAGGACGAGGGATATAGTGTCAGGAAAGGTATGTGACCTTGTACAGTATTAGGGACTAGGGATATAGTGTCAGGGAAGCTATGTGACCCTGTACAGTATTAGGGACTAGGGATATAGTGTCAGGGAAGGTATGTGACCCTGTACAGTATGAGGGACGAGGGATATAGTGTCAGGGAAGCTATGTGACCCTGTACAGTATTAGGGACTAGGGATATAGTGTCAGGGAAGGTATGTGACCCTGTACAGTATGAGGGACGAGGGATATAGTGTCAGGGAAGCTATGTGACCCTGTACAGTATTAGGGACTAGGGATATAGTGTCAGGGAAGGTATGTGTCCCTGTTCGGTATTAGGGACTAGAGATATAGTGTCAGGGAAGGTATGTGACCCTGTACAGTATTAGGGACTAGGGATATAGTGTCAGGGAAGGTATGTGACCCTGTACAGTATTAGGGACTAGGGATATAGTGTCAGGGAAGGTATGTGTCCCTGTACAGTATTAGGGACTAGGGATATAGTGTCAGGGAAGGTATGTGACCCTGTACAGTATTAAGGACTAGGGATATAGTGTCAGGAAAGGTATGTGACCTTGTACAGTATTAGGGACTAGGGATATAGTGTCAGGGAAGGTATGTGTTGCTGTACAGTATTAGGGACAAGGGATATAGTGTCAGGGAAGGTATGTGTCCCTGTACAGTATTAGGAACGAGGGATATTGTGTCAGGGAAGCTATGTGACCCTGTACAGTATTAGGGACGAGGGATATAGTGTCAGGGAAGGTATGTGACCCTGTACAGTATTAGGGACTAGAGATATAGTGTCAGGGAAGGTATGTGACCCTGTACAGTATTAGGGACTAGAGATATAGTGTCAGGGAAGGTATGTGACACTGTACAGTATTAGGGACTAGGGATATAGTGTCAGGGAAGGTATGTGACCCTGTACGTTATTAGGGACGAGGGATATAGTGTCAGGGAAGCTATGTGACCCTGTACAGTATTAGGGACTAGGGATATAGTGTCAGGGAAGGTATGTGACCCTGTACAGTATTAGGGACTAGGGATATAGTGTCAGGGAAGGTATGTGTCCCTGTACAGTATTACGGATGAGGGATATAGTGTCAGGGAAGGTATGTAACCCTGTACGTATGTTGCAGCCCTCATTTTTCTCATTAATTTTGTTGCCAAGGCAACTCTCATTTTCAATTTTGTTATTTGTCTTCTTGTTTTTGCTTTGCACCAGATGTTGGTACTATGTTACAATCAATCAATATGTCAGTGTATGTAAAATAACTTGTGCAGTACACAGATACATATTTATCATATAATTGGTAGGTTTCTCGGCAGGATAAAGCCAACGGATAAAAACGATATCCGTTGGGGTCATATGCGGATAGAAATGCAAATATCAAAGGTCAAGTCGGGACTACTTTCAGTGTTTATAAACAAACATGGCGTCGCAATTGTCATTCCGCGATCGAGTCAGAATTAACCATCGGGAATCTGGATAAACTAAAGGGATAATTGCTATCATTATCAAAAGAACAGTCTGATATACTGAAAATCAGTGTCTAACTGTGATGTAGCTAAGGCATTTTATAACTTTTGGCAACTTTGGAGATATAATTTTCCAAACAATTTTGCGAGGGCACTAGGCCCAGCCAAGCGGGATCAGTAGCCATATCTGTGCTCTGTGTACATCTGACTGTACTTAACAGGACAGAACGACTGTCAACAACGTCTGAACGTGGCCGTGACGTCTCATAAACTAGGGTTAGAGTAGCTTCACTTTGACAAAGGGCAATTACTCTAGCGGACAGACCGATGAATTGTCGCGGAAGGCAAGTAAAAACAATTGTTGTTTTGCATATATGTTGCTTCGCCACTGTATAAGAAACAGATTTTAGTTGGAGCTATATGGGCTACTGTCACAGTCCGACTGACACATCACTTACCCTGTGACGTAATAAATATTAATCCGAGCATTCCAGGAAAACTCGCAATGTTTAGATAATGTTTGTGAGTGAGGGAAAGCTATTTTCAAGCACAGAATTAAAGAATGACATAATATAATAAAGAGGTTATCACACTTGTGTGTTTGAGGATGGTAAATATCCTGTATTAGGAATAAACACTATGTATTTAGCTCGCCAAGACTCACTAAATACAATGTTTATTCCTAATGCAGGATATTTACCATCCCCAAACACACTCACGTGATAACCTCTATATATTACACTTATTTGAAGACCACCTTTATGATGCTAAGTATGTTTATTAAATTATTCTGTACAATGTGTGATGTAATTTACATAGGGTAAACCTGTTTATAAATTCCCATCTACTATACATATGATTGTAGAAATATATACTGTTTAACTTATATCATTTCTAAATACAAATACAGTACCTCTACAACATTCTACTCTATAATATATCCTGTTAATGTTTCCAAATAAAAACAATAAAAGTTGGAATTTACATCTTTGAATCCAAAAGCATGTAATTTACACTACCTGACATGAAGCTTATGAATTTGTCATGTAGGCCTACACTTTTTAAGTTTTTGATAATGCCCAGAAATGGTCAATAATAATTCTATAAAAGCTCTAAATATTTCAAAGGCATCAATACTGGCATTACAAGTGCAGATAGTTTTCTGAAAGTAAATTTTAGAGATATGCTAGGTTGTATAGTTTTAGATATTCCAGAAATGACGTACACTACCCATCATTTTTCACAGTTCATCACGTTCATGGAAACTGTCCAACATACACCTTTGGAAAATCTCTAAATAAGAACAAGTACCAATGTGATCAATAAGTGTATGGAGTTTCGTGAAGCTAGATTGTATAGTGTTCGAGAACTGCTCCGGAAAATAAATGATTACAGACGGACTGATAGACAGACGGACATACTGATGACTATATAATCCCCCCAGTGTGATATATCTTGGGACAAGAATCAAGTCTAACATGTTTTCTATAACGTAATGATGATCATCATGATCAACATGACCATCATCATCAACAACATCGTCATCTCCAAGTTTATATGCTTTTAGCTCTGACGAATGCGGACAATAGGTTCAGTGAACCTCAGCATATATTTTCTCCTGAGAAAATATATGCCCTGCGACATATGAACCAGCAACAATATGTGCCGTGAACGTTTGCATATATTGTTGCCAGCAACAAGATATGCCCAACAACAATAAATGCCGTAACAAACCTGCCAGTTTAAAAAATACCATAGTGTGTTGTTTCTTCAACTGTCACAGAAACTCTCATCACCAACACACAGTACTGCCTTTTATATCACAATGTGTGTTAAAGTGTTTTAGGAAGATATCTTTGGAATAAATGGATTATGGAAGTTGCTTTATGAATAAATTCTATTTCCAGACATATTTCTGCCCAAATTTCTGGATCTATTATTTCTAATATGTCTAAACAGCAGTTTGTTTGTAAAACACCTTCTAAATCATCTTTGCAATTTTGGAAGTAAAAATCAAAATTTTGAACTTTGATGTCACATGGTGCCAGGCATTGCTTGAAAAAATGACATAAAATATGATATTTCCATCAGCAGTGTTGTTGACTTAAACCTGCCTAACAGGTTGGAAACAAAGCAAATATGCAAAATTCTTTTCACGCAAACATGATATTTTGCCCACTCCGTCGCTAACTAAATAATGGTTTGTCTGTCACCTTACCACTGTGGTGAACGATTACTTCTCCACAAAAAATATCACGCTCCTTCATTTAAGGATTGGTCAACGTTCTTGTTGGCACCTTAACACAAGCAGACAGGGAATTTCCGTTTCCGCATTGATTTAGGCTGTGACAGTGCCAAGCTATGTCACATGTATGTAGCTTGTAAGATATGTAGCATGTCTGAAGGTCCTCATGTGAAGCTGGTAATTAAGACAAAGGAATGGTTTCAGCCCAGGTGGTAGTTTCCATCCTGTGTTATTCAATCATCTGAGGAGAAATAGTTTTTTCTCTTCTTATATTCTCTGTTATGTTTTTGTAATTATGTATTAGAACTACTTTTAGGAATAATGAAGTCTCAAGTGTTACGATGACTGTAACATGCCATCAATATTTGAAGTCTGAACCATTGTTTCATTCTAATGATAAAATGGAAGTTTGTTAAACATTATTCTCTTTTTAATTCATCCATGAATAGAAACATCCTGGTTTATCTTCAATATCATGCCGCTTGAGTGTTTGTAAAGTGCTTTTGCTGTCACAGAAACATTCATGTTAGACCCCTCCAATAGCTGTTTCAGTTGTTTATGAACATGACAGAAGTAGTTGTCAGGAAGTGATGTGAGTCAATCAGCTACATATTTCTGTATGATATACAACAGTCTGACAGTAATACCATGCCCACTAAACTGTCATGCCATGGCATCACAAACACATCTAGATGTTCTTATGCCAGTAATGGAGGATCATTGTACTTGGTCAGGTCCTCGGGTTACGGGATAGACAGTTGTCTGCTTTGTGGTTCAACATCGAGCCACACGGCACATCTCTGGTAAACTTTGTCACAGCTAAGCAGAACTAGAGAAACCTTATGGATTGTGTTTACGTTACACAGTCATTAGCCGTGTCGCCATGTGCTGCATATTGCTATTTTCAATGTTTAATCCATTAGCTGCACTGGGTTTTTTGTAGGATGAGTAAAAACAATGAAAACAAGGTTTCATTTGTAAGGAGATCTCAAAATCTATTTAATTGTCGTTCATAAAACATTGCAAACATATCAAGTTTTTAAATGTGGTCTGTGAAAACAAGATTCAATGTACTGACATGCAGGGTTCCTGAAGGGGAGAACCACAAACAGACTGAAATATCTCCCAGAAGATCTCATGAAGAGCATGCTAATTTGGATATAATGGTATGTGACAGAAGTCCCCTCATCCTCACATGCACATCCTAAATCATCTTTTCCAATCACCCAAACTCTGCAGACATTAACCAAACAGCTATATATTCAGAAAATACCTGACCCGTGAAGATCTGGGTTGGAATATTAATAGGTTTTCAGCAATACATGCTTGTCGTAATAGTGACTATGCTTGTCGTAAGAGGCGATTAACAGAATCAGGCTTGCTGACTTGGTTGATGTATGTCATCATATCCCAATTGTGTAAATCGATGCTCATGATGTCAGTCACTGAATTGTCTGGTCCAGACTCAATTATTTACATACCGCCATTATATAGCGAGAATATTGCTCTTTCCACTTTTTGTTCCTTGCTGTATCATCCCTGTCAACACTGAGATAAGTGGGGGTGGTGGCTCCTGTGTACTGCATGTTGCACGCAGCGACTGCTATGTTTACACTGATGCTGTGATATGACACATCCCATTCTGTGAAGCAGTTTGTTCACCAGTCACATCACTGCATATAACAGACATCATGTTTAGTTTAGTTTTAGTTCACATATCTGCAACATAAAATTCATTAAAATAATTTTAAAAAATTATTTCACTCAACAATTTTCATAATTCATAGTTTTTTCCACCCCTGTAAACCAAATAATGAAGAAAGACATTTGAGGCTTGGCTGTGACTGTACATGTATCAGGTGAGCTACAGTATACACACATTGCATGTCTATACAAACAACAAGTAATATTGAAAATGCTTTTCATGTTATGAATGAAAATAGGAAAATACACAACAAGTAGATTGATTGCATGAGTGAGTTGTGTCCCTTAGCTGTGCCAGCATCTGCTGATCATGGGTTAAAAGTGGCAATACACCCACCTTACTCACTCCGCAAGGATGTAACTGCAAGCTTCAGTGCATTTTGTAGTGGTAAATCAAGTTGTGCTTAACCTATCATTACATCTCATTGCTTATATGTGCAGTTCATAGTACTGGCATCTATAGTTTACATGGAGTGAGATTAATGGGCCGACTAGGTGAAATACCACCTTATTATATTGCTAGATTGTCAGGCTGGCATGGTTGTGTGTATGAGTGGTATGGTTGATTGGTTAGCTGAGGTAAGACAGATTTGTGTACAGTGTATGTTGATGATTCCTTAGAGTGAATCTGACTGGAATGTCATAGTGTGAGAAAAAAAGTGTTACATTAATAACAAAGGTTACAAATATAGATGTGCTTCATCTTACCTGTAATATCTTGAGAGGCCATTTGTGGTTTACACCCAGAACTGAAATATGGTGTTTGTTTGTATTTTTTGTTTACTTTTATATAACCAAGATAATGTTTAGGAAATGGAAATGGGTAACCTCTCATGTAACATATATTTCTAACAAGGCACCCTCAATACACGCGGTTTTCCTTCAGTTCAACCTGTTGTTTGGTTGGAATCCCACAGTAACCACAAATATTTTGATTTGTCATACCCACACTCATTTGGCTGTTGCATGAAGCTGACGTGCCATTGTATAGCTGAAGAACTGCTGAAATATGATTGTACCCTTCACAGGGACTACACTTTACTTGTACTGCGCAGTCGACAATATCACAGTTTTATCATTGGGGCTTGGAATGCAATCAACCAGACGAACCAGTGATTGATGGACTGAGAAGCATCCATGCCATGGAGTTGCCCACATTTTTAATTGTAGTTCCATGTGCTCAATGTGGGATCTCCACACAATCAAGCAAGAAGTTTTATCTGCTTTTCTCAATAATGAATGTGTTATTACATGTGTTTTGAGTTATATAAACTGAATATGATATTTTAGAAGTTGTATATTTGTCTTTTAAAATGTACTCAGTTCCATAAACTTCCATCCATTGATCAATACTGTCATCCTTGTCAACAGACAGGTGGTGGCACAGGGTTACTGAGTCAGCCACGTCCTTTGTAAATTCTAACAGATGTTCACAACAAAACACATTTCCTCAACTAGGTCAACAAATGTGTTACTCTCTATCTGGTCATGATAATGTCTTTGAAAAAATCCCAAGTTGTATTATATGGAAAGAAGATTTTGTGCCTGCTACAAATATTTTATCTGAAAACGTGTGAGAAAACTATCTACCCTGACCCACCTTGGCAAGCTGGACTGACACAGGAAGCCTGGGATGTAGGACAAGCTGCAGCCTCTCAGATGGTGAGGACTCCTTCAGTACTTAGTCCCCAACACTAGCTCCTTGATGCAGATTACCCAGTAAGACTGTAAAGAGGCTTAACATCTGGTCAGTTTCTCCTCCAACAGATTGCCTGCCCATTGTGAAGGGTTGAAGAGTTGAACTGTAATACTGATGCAAGGATACCCTTGCCCTGTGTGGAGGTTAAGTAGGGTTAAACCCCAGTGTGCATCCTGAGACTATTTTTTGTTTGGGGAAATTTTATTGGAAATTAAGTAGATATAAGTAGTAAGAGTGTTTTGTGATTTAGTGCTTATTGTTGTTTGTGCATGTTGTGAACCATAGTTAATTGAGGGATTGCACTATAAAACCATCATTAGTCCTGACGAGTACAAGCACACACACCACACCACACCACACCACACCACACCACACTGATGCACCTTGTTATGTAAGTGCAGCCATCTTGAATGTGACGTTAACCCCATTTCACCTCGCCACGCCACGCCACACCATGCCACGCCACACGCCACGCCACGCCACGCCACGCCACACTGATGCACCTTGTTATGTAAGTGCAACCATCTTGAATGTGACGTTAACCCTATTTCACCTCACCTCATCATTGTAAACTATTGAACAAATAATAAATGTTTTGTAAAATCTGTATTCATAATATAAAAATACATGTATATACTCTAATTTAGGACTCAAGGTCTTAAGGAAGGGAAAGAAATGGGAAGTGTTTGTGTATGTGTTGCTGGTGGCATGGTTGTAGGCTCCCATGTGAGATAGTACCCAGCACACCATGTGAGATATCTAGACATAGTACCCAGCACACCATGTGAGATGTCTAGACATAGTACCCAGCACACCATGTGAGATGTCTAGACATAGTACCCAGCACACCATGTGAGATATCTAGACATAGTACCCAGCACACCATGTGAGATATCTAGACATAGTACCCAGCACACCATGTGAGATATCTAGACATAGTACCCAGCACACCATGTGAGATATCTAGACATAGTACCCAGCACACCATGTGAGATGTCTAGACATAGTACCCAGCACACCATGTGAGATATCTAGACATAGTACCCAGCACACCATGTGAGATGTCTAGACATAGTACCCAGCACACCATGTGAGATGTCTAGACATAGTACCCAGCACACCATGTGAGATGTCTAGACATAGTACCCAGCACACCATGTGAGATGTCTAGACATAGTACCCAGCACACCATGTGAAGTAACTGTGCACTCATGCCTTTAAGTACAATTCTTGAAGATTTCACTGTGACAGATGACTTGTGAAATTCAGACATAATTTCTTATAACCAGACTGTTAGTTGAATGCAGTTGCTGAAACAGCAAGATCTTATTAAATAACATCAGAATATCAAAACTGACAAAGAACAAACACTTCAAATAATTACAATTATTTTAAGTCAAATTAAAATGCACTGGAGAATCATCTTTTGTAGCAGAGACTTGCAAAGCTATGTAAACATCCTCGCAACATGAAGCAATGTGTACCTCAGAAGGTTTAATTGTGCCAGATATACAATCACTGACACATTTGTCCAATGAGATGTAAATATAAATGTTACATAGCATCAGTTACTGCCTTAATGGAGCTCCTGAAGTCACACACTGGAATATGGCCACTCATGGGATGGGGTTTTCTCTTCATCAACCAGGTCAACTTGAAATGTCTTAAAATAGGGGTTTAGTATTATTAGGCTTTTAAATATAATAATAGGTGTTATAGTACAAGGACAAACATTCCACTGAGGGTTTTGTATGAGATAATGAAGGCAATGAGGTATAAGGAATATAGGAGGTCATTTTTAGTGTTGTGTCTTATATTACACAGCTCTACTTCAATGAGAAATTTGAATGTATGAGATATTTTACAGTTTAGACCAGCTGTTCAGACCACTCAGGTTGTTTATTATCTGCACATTTTATAATGTTATGTTTCTTCTGTTTTAGTTGATACTGAATGTAAAGCTTTATGATCGAATTATAGAGTTTTGATGCTGTGAATGTGTGTGATGTGAAACATGGCTTGGTCATGCAAGGAAGTATATACAGCCTCCATGTTAAAACAAATCACCAGGAAACCAAATGGTTCTTCCACATGGAGCGATTCTTATATAATCATCGGCATTCAAAAATTCCTGGCTGACAAATCATTTCTACAGACAATTTTGACATATTTATTCTTTTCAATAATTCCTATATGCTTCCTTCTGAGAAGTAGTGGAACATGTTCTCCCTTAAACTTGGTTTCAGAGATGTCAGCTGCTTCTGTGTGCACAGAGCTTACTCTTTGATCTTGAATCAGATGATTTTAAGGTGATATGTGAAGATTCTGTCACATTCCGATGTTGCCGGTGATTCTGTTCAAACTATAAACCATGTATGTTATGTGGTTACACAAAAAGAACATGCTTTTCATGCATATATGTTATTGAGACGCATCTGTGAGAATCATGTGGAATATTTTCTTTGGATGTGTTATCAAACCATTGTAAATTGATACCACAAAATATTTCACTTTTACATAAATTGGGGTATTTATTGTTTTAATAATGATAAGTGGGTGACTTAAAAGTCAAGTTTACCTACATGTGTCGATGGTATGAGATATGGAGGCTTTTGTTGATCTATTATGTTGTATTTGTTTTGCGGACAAGTAATCTAAGTCATCAACAAACCAAGAGTCACATGTCCATGTTATAACAAATGGACAAGGACGATCTTCAGTATTGGCATGTACAGAAACTAGGAATAGATGTGTTTTAGTTATTGAAATCAGTTTCTAATTGTGATTAAGAGGTGTTTGTCTGCAGCTATTCCTGTGACCAGCAGCCTAAGTAAGGGGGCAATCAGTGGCGCTTGTTCCAACTACTAGGATTAACAGCTAATACCGGCTTTAGAAACAACATATTGATTTAATAAGATTTGCCACCACACTAATCCACAATATTTCCCTTGATGGGGAGAAAACAGTAATACCCTTTTTGTTCCGCTTGATAGACTGAAGCATTGTGTGAGCTTGTGGGGGAACCTATGTAGGAGCTACCCGCATGGAACAAGTTGGGGGAACTGAGTGCTTGTACCATGTGTGGTTGAGCTGCTGACACGTGCGATCCACACCCCGAGTGTCAAATGTCAAGCAACAAGGCTTTCATTACCTTTTGCCAAATTGAAGTGACTTTTCAAATCTGGGATTGTCAATGTCAACATCGACTCAAAGAAGACAATATGGACTTTTTACGAAATGTATGATTTATTTTTAAATGTGATTGACAGCAATGTACGACGGTAAGCACACTTGACAGTTGTTTTGGGATGATTATGAAAAAGCAGTGTGTCAACAGAGTCATCAGTTGTGAAGATGTGAGATGCAGGAATGTATTGACATGTCACATACGAGTGTAAACAATGTACACAAACGTTGAAACAGCAAGGAAGGAGCCTGACAAATTTGGAGCATGTGTTTGTCTAAATGTGATCAATAACGAAACATACATACATATCATCAGAGGAATACATGTTGTTCTGCTTAAACAACAGCTGTGAGGGATCTCTGTGTATTTGTGTAGGATTGTGTGTACTATTGTTGCAGAGTTGGATATAGGGCTGTGAGTTTGAAAGAAAACTTGAAGACGTTGAGGTTTGAGGACCTGGATCATGAAAGTAATGTTGTATATTAACAACAGTGTCGTGTGTCTCATACATCGAAAAGCATGTGAAGTAAGAGGTGCTGTATATATGAGGCTCCAATTACAAGCTATAGCGCTAAATAACTGAACAGTGATGCAAAAAATGGACAAGTTTAAATTCCTGTGGATTATGTGGTGAATTAAGTTCTGACTTGTTAAGTAGTGTAGGAGCTGTTGCCTGAGGAATTAAAGATCATGGTGTGAGGACTAATCTTTTTGTTTTTATAAATATCCTCTACAAAGAAATGTAATGGTATTGGAGACAGTTCAGGGAATGTTGTTTTGGTGATAAAAAAATATTGAAGATCAGAACCTGCTGGAGGACTTTCAAGAGGAACTGTCACAGAAGTTTGGCCGAGATGCTTAAATGGGCTAAACCAGCACTGTGAGTACATTGTTGAAATACATACATCTTGGTTTCAGAAGAAAACACACTTGCCTTGAGGCCAGATGGTACAGTTTTGATCAACACAGTGATGGTCATTGTATGAAGAAGTATGTACGTTAAGAAGAGATACTTACAACGTGTACCACTTAATGACCAAAGTAACAACCAGTCAAGGGTCACCACAGAGTGTCACAATGTGCTGCACATGACTTCCAAACTTTACTCATTAATCCTGCACGAGACAAATAGTGTATCTTGAAGCACGAATCTATCACGTCACATGTGATGCGTTCTTGAGCATCAGTTCAAACAACATACCAGTATGTTCATTTGTGCATTAAACAAATCTGATGTCTCTTGAATATGAGTAAGTCTTCATATATTAACCAACATGTATGGTATTCATGTTTCTTTGGGCAGCAAGTAAACTTGGTATTGGTTTTATGAGTCATCATATTCCTTCATTGTTAGCCTTGTCATCTAGTTAAACTAAAATATATCAATGATTGTTTGTGAAATATTTTGGCATGTTCAAACATGTTCTTCATATAAAGATAAAAGGAAATAAAATGTAAAGAACATCCAAATGATTGAAAATGGTCAAAAGAAAGGCAGGCTTTGTCAAGATTGAGAAAAAAAAAATGATCCTTTTACATTTTCCAAACTAAGCACTGACAGTTGATGTTCCTTATCTGATGGGAATTACTGTGGTGAACAGGGCATCATGTATAAAGTGTTCCCTGAGGTGGTGAGACATGATCACCATGTCGTTTGTCTAAATCTCCCAGAGGTCAGATGCCTTGAAGTGACAATAGCTGGTCACAGTATGCTTTAAAAAGCAGAGATTTATATCAAAATGTTGTAGGAAATGGCCTGGACTGAAGGACATGAAGACTGCTTTTAACAAGTAGGGTGGGATTGAGGTCCCCTGGGTGTCATGGGGCTTTGGAACTAGAGGAACATTTTCAAAGTTTTGGTGATCAAAGATGCAGTGGGAGGATTTAATTCTTTGGAACAGATTTGATTCTTGACAGGGAAATGACACTTTGAAGATAGACTATAGGCTTAATTAGCTTTGTGACATACAGTAGCAATGTGGATTCTGATTTATATTAATTTTCAGTGGACTTATGAAGGCTAGGTCATTTATAATTTTGTGCATTTGATTTAGACTTTAAGTAAGGTTTAGATGAAGTA